CTAAGATTAGAAACATTATTTTTTTTTTAAATTATAGGTAATAGGTTTTATTTTACCATTATAGGTAAAAGTCCCATAGTTTACCTCCTCCGATAAGAGTGCTAGGTCTAACTAAGGGCCCATTCATAATAGTACAGTGTGTTCATCGCAATCACACCTATCCTGTGTTTTGTTATAGGAGGTGCGTTGCGGTGCCATTCGTTGGTAGATCTCATTGAGCTGGTCATATACAAAGTAGATCTTAACACAAAAAATTGTGGGCGCCCCTGCTCTAGAGTCTATTCAGTCCAGACAGGCCTTTGCACTAAATGGTTATTGGCAGTTCTAATGCATATTGTATAATAAGATTGTAACATATATGATCAGCTTTACACTTATCTATCAAAGTTATGTAATCAGGTATCTCCTCAAACCACATTCTCTCAGCTATGGTAAAGAGAAAGAACTCCCTTAGTTACTGCGGGCTCCATGCAGCAGCTTGCATTTTATGAATGGGCCACAAAATACATAAATAGCAATACCCACACTGCTATAAATGAGCCCCTGCATGTAAACTACACGTTTTTGTAACAGATGTTAGAAACATTTATTACATAAGAAGTCATCATACCTAAATATATTTAAATGAAGACAATACACTAGGGAGAAATATGCTTCTAGAATAGAAACAATTGGTAATAAATGTCCAGTACTTCCTTAGTTCTCAGTTCCTTAATATCAGATCATTTGATTATTTACAGTTAATATCAGTTTAATCTTGTTCATGTATCCAGCCTCGAGTTAACATTGTTACTAAAGTAGATTCACTAAAACAGACGGTTCCAATTATAAAATACAGAGCAGCTGCCATAATTTCTAGTGTATTATTTGTGGATTAGTAAACAGAGCTTGTCTGCTGTGTCAACATGGCTCATGGTTATCATTCCAAAATAACAACATTCCTTGGATTAGGTAAATCAGTTTTATTGGTATGAACATTGCAATGCAGTATAATCATACAAAAGGCATTTTCAGTCAGGAATTGCAATGACAAATGACCAAGTGCAGAATCTGGTAGCCAGTTAATTGAGAGGTTAATTCTGGTCAGCTGCTATGAGTAACTGCACTTTGCCCCCAAAACCTCCTAATATGTCTAACAAGACTTATAGGTTGATTTATAAACCTTATGCCCAGTGTATAGCTGGGCAGATTCCCTTCTCATGGCACTAGCACCCCCTGAGATGGTGCTGAGCAGTACTCAGATCTTCTTCAGCACCATCTAAGGGTGCTAGTGCTATTCCTATTCTATTGTCCTTAGTGTATTAGAGGCTGTATCTTCCATGCACTTGTGCTGAAGTGCCATTCAGAATAGTGCAGCAATGCATGTTACTGCAAAGCTGATATGTGAATAGCCCCCCCCCACCCCCGAATCACTAATGCTCACCACTTAGCGATCCAGTACTCTTATCTCAGACACCGGGTATTTCAGTAGTGGCTGCAATGAAGAAAGGAGCCGTGGAAAGCTAAGTATCACTGTGTGTGGGGCTTTTCACAGACACTGGCAGGGGGCAAAGTGACAGTGTATAAATGTTATTTTGTGCTTTACCATGGAACATCAGAAGAAAAAAAAAATTATTAACCCTTGCAATGGGGCTACCCGTGTACTGCAAGGGTTAAGTGCTCATTTTTGTTTAGGTTCCAAAATAAAAGTTACACTCAGCCTGAACCAGCTGCCCACCAAAACAGCCACCACCACGCCCCCACACACACAGATATTGCAAGTCCAGCAAGTCACATTTTTTTGGGTCTGGAATGCACAAAAAAAAAATGCATGTAAAAACACATGCAAATGCACTAGAACACACTGGAAAGCTTCCAGAGAGAAAAATGCACCAGAACCCCTCAAAAACACACATGACAGCAAAGCATCCAGATCTGGTATAGAGATGGTGTGAACAAGCCCTTAATGCGGACCAAGACTAAAAATGTAGTGTCTGCTTTACTGATAGCCCCCAGAAAACAAAAAAGACATAAAACCAAAAAACTACCTTGGACCCCATTTTCTGGATGAGATAACGGCATCCCCACGTCTGACCACTGCCTCCTGGGTACGCATGATCACTCAAGAATGCGCTGCTGCATTGTGCAGGGTGGGACATTATAACTAAAGGGCAATTCTACTTTCCCAGGTGAAAAGTGGAGGCAGAGGGGGCAGATTGTTTGGGGTAAATCCATTTTCCCAAATTTGACTGGCAAAGTGGAATTACCCTTTAAAGCTGATCTTGCATTCTCCTGCAATGCCCACTTTAGTATCATTTTTTAAAGTCCGCAGAGGAAGTCAATAGAGCATGTAATATCAAAAATTTAATATTGGATCAATGCTATAAATAAAAGCAAAGCACTAGTGAAATCTTCCACCTCCATTTGTACAGTCCTAAGGTTTATAAGCATGTTTAACTGGGACTCATTTTCTGCTTGAACAATGTGCTAGAACAATAGTACTCCAGTTCCAGACCAATGACAAACTGATCCTTGGTTCCAAACTTCTAGAGGGCTAAATTCTATTACACTACGAGGCCTGATTATAAATCAATCAACTTGACTTACATCAAACATTCTTTGGTGGAGAATCAGTCACTCATTTAAAGCGGACCTTTAAAATTGCAGTATGGAATATCAAAAAAACTAAACAAAAAAACACTGCCATGACCACGGCCACACCCCCTTCTGACAATGCGCCACTACTCTCACGCATATGATAAAACTAAACTACCGATCCACAGTGCATGCTCTAAAGCGTAATCTCACCAGATCTCGCAGCCATTTTCTTTTCATGAACAAGATCTAATTTGAATGACAAAACAATCCTAGTGTGCAATGCTTTGGCAAACTGAAGTAATTTTGCACTGAAGAAGTCAATGCTCTGCAAGTATTTCAAAATCACAGCATTTTACACCTGACATGTCTGTTATTATTAATCATCAAACATAGAAGGATGTAGGGATGCACCGATACTAGTATTGATATTGGTGCCGATGCTCTGATGCCTAGCACGAGTACTTCCTGTATCAGGAAGCCAGGCAGCGCGTCATTACACGCTGCCCGGTTTCCCGATTGGCTGGGAAGTGGGTCCATGCTCTTTTGTCACTTGTAATGAGAGTGCATGGAGCCGACTTCGAGGCCAATCATGAAGCCGGGCAGCGTGTAATGACGCAGCGCCCGTCATCTCATGACAAGGGAGCATGGAGCCAGCCTCCCGGCCAATCAAAAAGCAGGGCGACGCGTCATTACACGGCACCCGGCTTCCTGATTGGCCGGCCAGACGGCTCTGGCTGGGTACCGGTGGAAGGCCGCGTTCTGGCTGGAGAGGCCCCGGGGGTGACAGGCTGGACATACCAAGGTAAGTGGGGACAGACTTTCTTGTTAATCGGGAAGCCAGGTGGCGAGTCTTTACACGCCACCTGGCTTCCTGAATGGGACGTCTGTTACTAGGTTATTGGTATCGGCGAGTACTGAAAAAAAAATTATCGGTACTCGTACTCGGTACCAAAATACCAGTATCGGTGCATCCCTAGAAGGATGCATTGGTGGGATTTGACTTTAGAGCGTAAAGGTCCACATTAAAACCCCCGGACCTGGAAAATGCACCTGCAGCAAATGTTCCCTGAATGTCAGATTATCTGCTTTATAAATATATGCCTTTGTCATCCATTTAATAGAAATATTGCCCTTTGTCCATAACATCATGTCAGAAAACACTGGGGCTTTCCATCTGGTCTGGAACAATATTTATTTGCAACATGCCCCATTATCTTCCGACATAAATACAGTCTCACTCTATTTCTAAGAGGTTGCTAGAGTTTGTAGCTGAAAACCCCAGGTTGTCTCTTAGCTTAAACCAACCCTTTTCTTTGCTAATGCTGCAATGTAAAAGGGTCACTTTGCTCCACCCCTTCACTCCCCCAGCGGCATATAATCACATTTCCATGCCCCCTCGCTGCCCTGTTCAGGGGCTCAGAACAAACAATTACCCAACACTCCTGGATATATGTGTGCTCATATGGAAGCACTGCACCAATAACAAGGAGCCAGCACTATCATATGGGGCCAGGGAAAGACCCCATAGCCTTGTGTAAGATCCAAGTCAGTTTGGAGCTTACACAGGAGGCATCGATTCCTGGCTCCAGCAGCTGAACAGAGTGGAGCAGGAGCTAGAGAAAAAGAGTATAGCCATGGCCAAAGGAAAAGGGTCACTTTAAGCCCGTACTTCTGGTCTTCCCGGCGGTGCTGTGAGGCTTCCAGGGCAATAGCTTTTGGAAGAATATTTGTCTAGAAAATTTGACCTGTGTTAGTTTTTAAAAAGGGTCGCTATTGGTTACCTAAAGTACTGATTGATAATCAGCCCATTAAAAAACAGTCACAGTAAGAACTCCACATTTCATTTCTTTTTACAGGCTAGTTCTTTGTAGTGTTTTACAGGCCAGTTTATTTAGCTTACAGTAGAGGGGAATACTGCTAATAGAGTACCCTGATCCCAACAAGAAAACTTACTTTGCTTCAGAACTAGGTGCTGGTCAGCAGGACAAGTCTTTAATACATATTCCTGAAGGTAAACTCATGCTTACACTATATTTGCATTCCCCATGGTACATCCTATTACCAATGGTATAATCCTGCTTTAACTGTGCTGTACAGAAATTAAACCAAAATAACAATATGTTGTGCTAAAGAAGGCTAGTGTACACTGACACAGAGTTCTGAGACAGCAAACCCAGCTTTAAGTCCTAGATTGCTTTGTTTGAACAGTGAACTTGTGTTGTAACTTAAGGGAGCAAATGGAGATATAAAATACTCATTACCAGCATTGTTCACTGCATATGGCAAGCACTCAGCAACTCAGTAATCAGCAGCAATATATCTCCAAATAGAACAGTTTTATCCATATATTACACACTCCAAGAGTTGCATATTCATCATTTTACTTGAAACTGTTAAACAAAGCTCTGAATAGTTTATCAAAGCAACATTTAAAATCTCAAAATATAGCACAAAACAAGTACAAATTCCACAAGAGTGCCCCGGATAAAATGGCAGCAGTCTTACTGGTCTTCAATCTGTTCTTTTTCTTTGTTTTGTTGAATGATCGTCACATTAAATGGTCTAAAATGCTCCAACAGGGCATTGGTGTCTAGAATATTTAAGCAGTATTCTTCCGCTATCCTCTCTGCAGTCAATGTTTGAGGAGATTGTTTATGTTTGTTAAGAATGGTCATAGCCTCAACAATTGAAATTTTTCCCTTTGGAATGTTGTCTACTTCAATATTCAGAAAAACACTAGTCATTGTCTGCTTTGGAGCTCTGAACTCTTCTTTTGCCGGTGACAGATCTTCATGTTTCATCTAATTTGAAAGACCAAAGAAAACATTATGTATAAAAATCACGTCACAATAATGAAAAAAAATAAAATATTATATTGTAGCAGTGGTTCTAAACCTCATTAAAATAGTTATAACATTTAATGTTCATAAAAGACCTTTCAATAGGCCTATCACCTTAATTCAAGTATCACTAAAGCATACACATTGGTTGACATTAACATACTTACCCTAAATTATTTGCTAAAATGCTTTTATTTTTTTTTAAGACGTGCCACTAAACAGCTCAATGTAACCCAAGAATGCCACTGGCCCGGCCTTTGGTTTGTTTTTTTAATCAAGTTTTGTGAAGACTAATTAGTAATAATAAACATTTTATTATCATTAATAATAAACAATGATCATTTGCAAGTTAAGAGCCCTTTAGAAAGATTAAAAATAATTTGCGCAAAGTTTGTGCTTCTTTTTGGAAAACATAATTACAAATGATAGGGATGAACCAAAATGGAATTTTCAGACCAAAACCGAAAATAAAAAAAATTCTCAGGCCAAAACAAACTTTTTTTTCTAACATTTTTCTTCACTTTACTGTCGGGGGCTCTGGGTAAATATCAGGGGTCTAAACAGACACCTGATATTTCCCTAGATATAGAAAAAGAGATTGAGTCTTCCAATTTTTTTTCTGCAGCCCCTGTTATGAATGAACAGGAAGCCTCTCTACTGAGTGTTCCTGTCCATTCATAAACTGTGGATCAATTACTATGTCCACAATCATAATTGAACAGGAAAGTGATGTGGAGCACTTCCTGTTCATTCATAATTGGGGACACAGTAAACATACTATGCTGATCGCTTCTAACCCGCCCTCCATCCCGACTCCTTCAGCTGTCACAGGAGGCCGAGCGGGCAGTGTGGGGAGGAGAGCTCAGCCTCCTGTGACACGGCTGACAGAGCTCTTCTCCACGCCCCGCTCGGCCTCTTGAAAGTTTCTCTCCTCCCTACTGGGCATTGCGATGTCTCAAAGGGGACACAGAACAGCACCTAGCGAGGAGGGAAACCAGGGATGCCACAGAAATTCGGTGCATCCTTAATACATGATACATCTGACCAAAATGAAGGCTTACTAGTAAAGCATTCAACAGTAAAGTCAATATAACAAGCATTCAAAGCAGACCTTTCCCCCTAAATAAACACAGTGGCATGCATCTCTGCATGCTCAACAACAGACACTGCACATTATCATTACTTAAATCAAGTTTAATGAACTAGGAGCGGGAACTAAATTGCATACTTAAAAACAAGCGGCTGATATTCACAGATGTGGATTTGATCGGCATAAAGCCCTTCCGTTTTGAATGGACAAAAGAGATAACACCAGGCAGGTGTTTTTGAAAGGATTTCGGCAAGTATTTTAGTGTCATTTGTAAGCAATGAATTAAGCCTGTAAAAAAAACAGGCTTCAAGGTGTTTTTGTCCAGTTCAGGTATAACAATGTTGGCCTACGCATAGACAGAGGAATTTGTTTTTATTTACAATTAAAAGTTACATTACAGAGCAGTTTGGAACTAAGGATCTCACAACATTGTTTGCAGGACTCAATTATCATTGTTGTGGGGCCTTAGTTATTGTATCAAGATGGTGACCTTTCTTGTCCCCCTCCTCAAAATGAGGGAGTTTAGCTCTTTAGGCTGCATTCACATCCAAGCCAGGTGATTGAGAAGCTTTTTTTCTGTGCTTTTCAAACCAATGTTCGTTTAAGATAAAGGTGTTTTGCTGCAAGCGACAGAATGTTCAGATGGGATTCCTCTTGTTGATCATAGCAGCGCTTACGCAACTGAGCTACAATATGCTTAAGTTGTAGCATTTATATTGGTAACATCTGGAAATTGGCTAGTACTAGGTCAAAGCATAAGGACATTTGGGTTTTTGAGAAACAGGAACATTGTTTTATGGGAGGGTGAAACTGTCTCCAGACATAATACCAAACTAAAGACACAAAAGAGGTTTGCCTTTTAATGTCACTGGAGGGAGTAGAATTAAATGTATTCCCAATCAGGGTGCAAAAAGTTATTAAAATCACCCACTAGTAGTGCATAGGCAACTCTGATAAATGACTCATAAGTGGAATAAAAGCCCTGGACTTGCAAGGTTTATCCTATGAGCAGGATCTCTATTATCAGTACTCATGTGCCCATAACAGTGTCCTCAGATTCATTGTGGGACTCTCCAACTCTTTGTGAGAATGTATGCTAGGACACCGGTTGCTTAAAAAGGAAAAATTTTCATGATCTGCATCTTTTCCCAGCGTTCTGCTGCATATTTGGTCTTTTCTGCCTTCTTTTCTAGAAAGATTGGGACAGAACCATCTTGCTCATCAGTGCGGGCGGCTTCATCTTTGTGTCACTTAGAATTCTTGACAAAGTGTATGAGGAGACAGGGTTACCGAGCTAGAATGTGGGAGGATTTTCAGGCCCTTAAGAACCAGAGGAAAGGACCAATGTTGGATGTCAGAAGGGGGCTCTCCGAAATGCGACTTCTAAAATGCCTCATACTGCAATACCCCCTGCCCAAATTGATTGAAAAAAAAAAAAGGAGAACATCCACCAACATATACATTTTTTGTATTTTGAAAAGCTGCTGCTGTCCACCACCCTTTTAAATGACTGTGTTTGATGAGTGGGTGCATATTTTGCCATTTGTTATTGTACTGCTTGCCAATTCAAGCTAAATCATTAGGAGATGGTTTAAAGCAAAAAAAAAAAAAAAAATACGTGGAAATATATTGAAATATTTTACCAAGCAGGGCGTATAAAACAGAAAAAAAAATTTGTTTGCCTTCCTTGTCAAGCGACACATAATTGACGTACGGAAGCACAAGTTTCATATTTATTTTTCACTTAAAACAGCAAGACATCCATTTAGTAAAGCACACACTAAGTAAGGCATTCTAGATTCTATCAGTCAGTAATGCGCCTCAAATAGAGAGCATTAAAATCAGAAAGGATTAGAACCAAGCAAGAAATCAAAAGCAGTAAAGGTGATCAATTATGTTGCATTGTGGAAAATGATTGTAAGAAATGAACACAAAAACAGGTAATATAGGCTAAACATTCATTCGATGCAAAAACACACAAGCCTGTACAATTTATATTAGTACCCAATAAACATAAATTTATCTTTAATTTTGCTTTAGTGGATCACTTTTTTCAAACTCTTTGCAGCCGACTAGCTGTTAGACCGGTCCCTAAAGTCCGTCTTCCCCTCTGCTCTAGTGGTCTAAGGTCCTGCGAGTCATCACATCCAATAAAGTGTGTATTAGATCTGAGGACTCTGAGGGACATTCCATCGCTGCAGCTGAAGATGTGAGCACTTTAACCTCTTGCCATCCGCCCGTTAAGAAAAAAACGGACGGACGGCTGACTCCTATCTAAACTGGCTGCGAGGTACGGGTTGGTATAACTGTTATTTTTGCACCCAGACAAAAACGAGCACTTAACCTTTGCAGTGCAGGGATAGTACCACTGCAAGGGATAAGAAATTTTTTTACTGTGTTGTTCTTTAATATTTGATTTTTTTTTCTATTAATATTGTTATTATACTATTTTGGCATGGCAATAACCAGATGTAAACAAACTTGTTGCTGTAAGGCTATAGGTTGTCTAATAGAAGCAATTTGGAAGTCCAATCACTTCCATATGCAAAATAAACATCTACCGCACCTAACCTCCCTCCCCACATGTGTCTTGGGCTCACCTCTGTCCTGTGGGAGCCCAGGATGTCCATAGTGCCATGCCGGATAGAGAGCACAAGAGAGACAAGAAACCTCTGATTCTCCATCTCCCCTATAAGGCAAGAACATGGAAGTGCTCAACTCTGAGCATTTCCAAGTACAGTGATGTAAGATCTGAAAATATGTACTTTCTCTGTTGAAGCAGGATATAAACAAAGCATTAGGGGTCTAGCGGGCCTCATGAAGAGGACCTACCCTGAGCGAAAATTACTTATCTGCTCCCTTTTGTAAGTAGTAGAGTGAAACAAGATGTTAGGAAAAAAAAAACGTTGGGTATTTAAGGGGAATCCTTTTGGGGTCACCATCATTTATGGGTATCGTAGTTTGCTGATGGTATGCACAATTTCATGTCTTAGTTGTCAGCTATTTACTCGACTTAGTCTTGTCTTTTATATTTACAGAAAATTTGGAGAATTTGTGTTTATGTGCCCAAAAATTAATCTGAGGGTACTTTCAATGAACAAATATTGTGCAACTTAAAAAATTATAACTACTATTATTTTATTCTATAAGCGCTGTGCTTTCATAAAATTTACCCCAAGAATCTGACTGAAGAAAGAAGAAAAGACTGAAAGAAGAAAGACTGTCGGCTTTACAGCAGAAGCGATTCTGGCGAGTTACCCGTCGCCAGATCGCTTCTGTGGCTTCCTTGGTGTCCGCGGGTAGCTGGGGAGGAGATCGACGAACTTCAGTTCATCGATCCCCTCCCCGTTCTATGGGAGCGATGCAGATTGCATCACTTCCGGTCCCTGGGCTGTCAGTTCTGGACTTCTGAAGCCAAGCTATAAGTGCGATCTGCACTTCAATAGCTTATTTCTAGTGTAAAGGTAACACTGGGGGGGGTCTTTCAGACCCCCAGCATCACCTTAAAGAGTACCTGTCACCACCATCTGCTATCACATGGGGGGGCTTGTAAGCACCCCTATGTGATAGCAGTCAAAGTAAAGTAATACAAAAAAAAAAAAAATACAAAAAAAAAAAGGTTTTTAAAATTAAATATAATTTTTAAAAAATGTTAAAGTCCCCACGTAAAGTCCCCGCGTTGCCACGTAAACACACGCGTCGGATGCACCTACGTATGAAAACGACTAACGCGCTACACATGTTGGGTATCGCCACGCGCACTGGAGAGCAATAATTCAAGGGCCAATATTTTGGGGTATCTCTAAATTGATGACCTGTGGGGGCTTTTAAAGCGTCTATGGACTTTTTGGGGTACTGCAGTTTTTCGCCGTTTCACGGACGCACGCAATTTGTAAACTGGGCATGTTGGGTATCGTTTTACTCGTTGTAAACTCATCTTTTATATTTCATTAAAAAAACTGGTATTTTGTTGTGTTTTGGGGCATTTCATTAAATTTGTCACTAAATTTTGGGGTTTAATAAGGAGTTGCGCTAATATTGCAACATAAAAATTTTCAGGCCTAAAATGTGAAATATAACATGGGTGCAAAAAATGAAAAAAAGGTCTCAGTCATGAAGGGGTTAAAGCCCTGCATAATAATGTAAATGTGCGCTTTCCCAGAAAAAAACAAACAAACCATATTTAGATAATCACCAGAGTGAGAGCAAGTGTTCTCTGTGGACAATTTTGAGTACTGCCATTTTTGCACAGCTGTGGGTAATTTTAAGGCTTGACATGTTTAGTATCTATTTACTGAGTGCAATTGTATCTTTTATACTCCACAATAAATGCCACCATTTTATTTCTACAGCATTTCTGCTTTCAGAAAATATATAATCCTTTGGAGTTTTTAAGTATGCTATAGGCCTAAATATTTCAAATTGCAATAGCCAAAAGAAGGCTGGCTATTGCATCTGCCCACTGTCAATCAGCAGAGGAGGGGCCTGAAGCAGAAAGTTCTCCATCAGGTCCTCCCATGCTGATTGACAGCAGACAGTGGGCAGGTGCAATAGCCAGCTTGCTATTGGCTATTGCATTTTACAATATCCAATAGCAGGCTGGGTATGGCTCCCAGTCTGCAATGAAGAGTAGGCAGGGGGGCGGGGCAGAGGAGCAGCAGCCGGACCAGGATACCGGAGGATCGTCCGGACCAGGGAAGACAACAGAACGGCTGAAAAGGAAGCCGGCATATCAGCGGAGGTACGTGGGGCATCGGCGGTATGCAGCGGTCTGTGTCCCCGCTGCCTCCGCCAACACAGGCGCGGGGATTTGAAAGGACACAGGCTGCTGCAGCCATAGGTTCGCCTAAATGTACCGGCGGTTGCCGGTAGGAGAACTGTGGACCCAGTTCGTAAGTACGGATTGTCCGTAAGTCGGACGCCCATAACCCGGGGACTGCCTGTACTTTAGATAACAATTCCCAGCTTCAGTCATGTAAATCAAAAGGTTTAATGGCTATGCAGGCTTCTTGACACCAAGAGACAGGATTTTGCAATTACGTTTTAGAACAAGGTGGTCCCACAATGTTGGTATTTCCCATCCTGGTCATGGACAATCAATATCTGCCTTAACATATTCCATGAGAACTGAATTAAGGCAATTGTGCTAAACTGTGTGGATAAAATTGTTAGGGTATATTCCCATTAGAACTATGGCTTGCATAAACTGCAAAATCCTCAACATTACAGAACAAGTCCAGTTAAATGTGACTAACTACTACTACCTATACCACGACCTGGATAAATTAGAACCTTCATAGATATTCCTGGGGGTAGTTACTTTCCTTGTGATGGATGGCACTTTTTACTGTACTCAATGCTAATTGACTGCATTTTGGAAAGATGTTCAATGATGCTGCACCTCTTCATAATGCAGCTGTAAGTATGGGATAGTTAAAGGGCCCAATTTCCCTTGAGAATATATTGAGAGACAAACAGCATGAAGGCAAACAGAACGCAACACTTGCTAAATACTCTAAACACTTGTCATTTGACAACTCAAGTACAGCATCTGCAGCTCTAAAAAAGGTACCTACAGAGAACACTTGCCCAACCTGGCCATATGCTTACACATTTCCAACCACTACTTGTCCACAGAAGACATGGTAGATTTCTACAGTTTTCCACTTGAGAGGCAATGTTTAGACTAAAACATAATTTGGCAGCTGAATCTTGCTGATCAATCTGAAAGACAAACTGTTAAAGTGAACCGGACCTGGCCTTATGTGTTGCTGAGGTACATACCCCTTGTGGGGGGACTGAAAGTACCTCTGTTAGTCTTCATATCAATCTACATGCGCATGTGGATCTTTACAGCATTACATGGGATCGCATTCCCAAGTTGATATTAAAGTGACATTAAACCCTCTAATTTGTTTTCCCCATTGTAATGCTGCTTTAAGTACTTACCTTAAATGATGCCTCTTGATCCGTTCATTTGCTTCCTTCCACTTGTTTCCAGCAGTCCCTCCAGCGCTGGTGCCGGTCTCTGATCCAGCACAGACTGCTGTCTCTTCTTGTCCCACGGAGTCTGTCCAGCGTGAACGCTCACGGCTACGTGCATTCGCTTCTGAGTCTTTCCTCTTCTCCCCGCAGGTGATATGGACTGCGCCCACCCACATCATCCTCCTGCATGGTTGTTCGGGACCGATGTACTGCAGCCAAGAGCAAGCGGCGGAGACAAAAAGATAAGTATTTACCTCTTTGGTAACTTTTTTTTTTATTTTAAATAAAAATCTAGCAGTAGATATATGTAAAAGAAACCCCGGAGACTTTAATTCTACTTTACACTCCCCTTCTCCTCGTACTAAACAACCCTAGGATCAGTGGCGTCACAAGGAGGGTGTGGCCCGCACCCAGGTGACAATAACCGCTCCGGGTGTCACCCAGCCCCTGGACGCCCCTGCCTAGGATCAAATGGCAAATGCCAGAGTCTCTACTGTCCACTGGAGTTCTGTCATTTGAAAGTTGAATGATGGGAGGTGGGGCCTAATCTCTACATGGGTAAAAGTCAAAGGCACCATGTATAGCCTGGCCTCCACAGTGATCAATATCTACACTAAAACAAGCACCTGCTGGCAACACAATGTACCAACTTCAGCACTGCTGTTATCGTAAGATATAGGCCATGTCAGGTTTAGTTTAAAGTCTACAGGTAGAATACACAAGGAATGGCAGAAAAGTAAAACAGACTTTACTGGGTCAGGGACCCCTAAGTAATAGAAAATAAATAAGTGTATATTATATACACACAGCATGCACACTAAATGCAGTTTACCTCATGTAAAGGGTCTGTGGAGTCAACATAAACATCCTTCAACCGTGATAAGAGTTGATCATCCTTTCTGTAAATTTTTTCTGGGATTTCAGGGTAACCTGAAATAAAAAACCAATTGTCAAATTTAATTGAGTGCCTTAATATTCATATAACTAAATATATTAACAGAATTGACAAAGCTGCAAAACATCTTCAACATTATAAAACGTGTCCAGTTCTTTGTAGCTAACTACTGCTAACTGTTACTACTACCACCAGCTATACCATGGCCAACATTTCTACTTCGAATTGGTGTTTAAAGACTATTAACATACATTCACAAATTACATGTCGTGCAGGAAATAAAGCTGCACATTTTTCTTTCAAAATTTTTTTTTTTTTTATTGAAAACTTGCACAGGTACAATAAAGCTTCGATGGGATTATAACATCACATGAAACAAGGAACAGGGCTCAGGATATGGGGAGAGAAGGAGGACTTCCCAAGGCCGGTAAGGGTTGGGACGTAAAAAACACCACAACGGTAATGTACAATCTGCGCATGTCTCAATAAACCTCTCCTAGCAGTTTAAATTCATTTGGATTTTTACAGCAGTCCAGATATGCAACATTCTTACTACATGGGCATATATCTGCTTCTCAATTTTTTTCCTTTCTTCCGCAAGTCAATGTGGATTCAAAAGCATCTCAAAGAATCCCAGACCAGCTAAAAATAAGATGGAACCTGAAAGAAACCCATAAGCAAATCAGAAACAAATCAAGGGTAGTTTAAAGCAAGACAAAAGCATATAGCATTTGATTGCTTTCAAGTCTAATTTCCATGTACACACTTCCAAGTGTTGATGAAATATGTACTACACAATGCTCCTATGCAAGTTTAATTTTCTGGTCCTGTACTATGGGGTAACCTTTTTTTCCCCCATCGTTCTCTTTAGGATCATATGAGGACATATACTAACGTCATCCCGTGAACCAAAACGTAATATATAGCGGGCTAATGCCCACTGTATGCTGAGAGCGCCGCAGCCGGGGCGTATCCTGACAATACTGTCGGAATCCACCCCGCTGGCTGATTGACAGCGGGCTTTGCCTATCTAGAGGCAGAGCCAGCTATGCCCGCCCCTTCCTCCATCTGTCCGTCCATCCAGTCAGCGCTAGAGGATCGGAGAGGGGAGAATCCCTGTGGGTCACTGACTGTCAACGCTCTCTACAGGGAGATGATCGGGAAGTGAGCGAGCGGCGGTATGTTTTTGCTCACTTCCCGATCAATAGAGCCGATGTGTGACAGTTTCAATGTCACACATCGGCTCTAACTATGGGGATGAGTTTAATTCACTCACCTCATAGTTCTCCTTTAACCACTTAAAGACCAGGTGTTAGACCCCCTTCCTGCCCAGGCCATTTTTCAGTATTCAGCGCTGCTGTACTTTGACTGACATTTATTCTGTCATGCAACACTGTACTGAAATTCATTTTATACCATTTTTTGGGGGCAGATAGGAGCTTTCTTTTAGTGGCATTTAATCACCACTATGGGTTTTATTTGTTTTACTATATAATGAGAAAAAAAACTGTTTTCCCTATGGTATGTTATAAACCTTTATTATTGACCAATTTTTTTGTAAAATAAAAAAAAAAAAATACGGGGTCACGTCGGGTAAATAGACACCAAACATGTCAAGCCTTAAAATTGTGTGCGCTCACAAAAATCGCAAAAAACTACCATGCCTAAAATGGACCATAGGCGACGCTTTAAAAGCTTTTACTGCTCATCAGTTTAGTGTTATCAGTGATTGATGAGCCTACAATTATTGCTCTCACTGCTTCATCAGCTTCTTCTCTGGCTCCCAGCCAGAGAAATGACAGCTAAAGGCGGAAGTGATGGAATACACATCACTTCCGCCTTATGGAGAGAGAAGGTGGAGAGATCAGCGGCTGGGGAAACTGTTGGCGCAGCAACATGTGAGGTTATACAAGCGATCGGCCAGCTATAGAGCCGGCTGAACGCTTGTATGAAAAAGCTGGTCCACCCGTGGAGGACCTCCTTAAACTAATTTGTAAACAATCGGGCAGCTCTGGTACTACATCATTTTTAGTCGATCTAAAGCTTGCCACACTCGTTCCAATCTGAATGTACTATTGCCCAAAGTAGTTATAGAGGCACTCACGGGTCTTGCAGCAGAGAAGTTAAGCCATCAGCTGATGCTGTGACTTACCTCTACTGCAAGACCTGCAAGTGTCTCTGTCTACTTTGGATTTGTATGAATATTGTTGTGGATGTGCACCCAGGCATTTGCCTTACACAGAGTGTGGTAGCTTCCTCTGGGACCAATAGATCTTTATAAATAAAATTTAAAAAAAAGGATTCCAACTGAATGAAGCAAATTGAAGGCAGCACAGTAGCATGGTGGTAGGCACTTCTGCTTTACAGCACTGGGAGCCCCCAGTCAGGACACTAGCTGCAGGGAGTTTGCATGTTCTCCCTGTGCTTGTGTGGGTTGGCCCTGTAAGTATAATTGTGAGATAGGGACCTTGGATTGTAAGCTCCTTGAGGGCAGGGACTGATGTGAATATGTACTACATAAAAGCACAGCGTAAATTGTTGGTACTATATAAATACCTGTAATAAAGAAATCTTAGAAAAGCGCATGTGGTCCAGGAAAACTCTTCCAAGGACAAACCTTGACAATCTGGACTTTTGTTACTTGCAAATGAAGGGTGCCTGGCAAGTGTTAAATGTCGAAATGTATATGTCTTATTACAAATGACAGCCACCCTGCATGACCTCCAACACCATCCACACTGCACAGGACTTCAACTCCCAGCATGCACTGCGACTACACAACAACTTCCGGCAGCGCAGGCTTGTGATAGCCTTCCAAGGGCAGTGTGCATAATGACATAACAGCTCTGTGCCCTTCTCCTAATACTGTCACATAAAGACAGGAGGATAACTAGCGCCTCGTAAGGAGCAGAAAAGGGGCTACTCACGGGAGACGACAGCGGCCACTGCCTCCTTGGTGCCCGGGTGCATTGGCGCAGCTCTGGTCTTATCCTTCCCGATGAGTTGGTGAGCTCTGCTCTCCACATTAAAATTCTTCATAGCGCGGACCAATGTGGCTCCCATGTCTGCTGTGTGCGATCTCCGGGCTATCCGCACACACAGGGCATCACACCAGGACAGCTAGTACTAGTAGTTCTAGCACGCTGCTACCGGCTGCAATCTGATTGGCTGTACTGGGAAGACAGGAACATGACCACTTCCGGGTTACGCAACACAGACTTATACTGTGACTGCCACTGTGTCAGTGTGATTGGTTAGGCTGAATGTTGCTGAGCAATAACAATACAGATTTTATTATTTTTACTTTTATTATTTTTACAGTTTAGCATTAAAGTGACAACATATCCAGCTGCAATACAAAAAAGAATCCAGAGGGTGCTTCCTTAAAGCAAAACTAGGAGCATGAATCCTATTAACCCTTGCAATGGGCCTACCCCAACACTGCAAGGGTTAAGTGTTATACACACCTGATCCTCGGAGCCTGCCAGCTCTTAAGTCAGTCCCTTCTGCCCTACTCCCCCTCTGCTGCAGTGATCTAAGGTCCCTGAGTCATCACATTCTATACATAGTATATAGGACGTGAGGATGCCAAGGGGCATACCATCACTGGAGCGGAGGAGGATACAGGCTGGAGGGAGCGCTGTCACAGCCAGCCAGCTCCCAGGATCAAGTAACCCTTTTTATTTATTTTTTAACCTAGACAAAAACAAGCACTTAACCCTTACAGTGCAGGGGTAACCCAATCCAAGGGTGGTGGTAGATCCTGCATAAAAAAGGATGGATTGGCCAGTAAAGCACTTTACAAGCGTATGGACATGTAAATGGCCGTACAGTGTCCGGTTGTGTAAAATTCTTCTAACTTTGCACATGTACGCATGTAGGTGTGTTTACATGCTTTTATATACATGTGTACATTAATGACCTCACAAGTAGATTTTACTATTTTGATTTTAAGAAACAGAACACAGTCCAGGTTTACTGATCTTTACTCTCTGCATATGGATCCATAAAAAATAATATTACTGCTTAGATCCATAAAAATAAGAACACTGTACGCAGCATTTTTACACCCATGTGCATTCAATCATATATTAATGTAATATTAAACTCTCAAACTTGTTTTCAATAATGAATCCAGATCAAACAAATATACATTCCCCAGCACAGTATTTATTTCTCTTTTTACCCAAACACTTACAGCCGTCATGTTTCCAAACAACTCCAACACTCTCAGCTCAGCTTCCCTGAACGTCCTGTCCAGTACAAGATCACAAGGAACAGAGCAGACCCCAGCAGCTGTTCATCTTCTAGCTTGGAGGGGGGGGGGGAAGGCAGAGGAATGGCTTGCCCTGATGTGCCTGTGTGAGAACTTTTTCTCTCAGGTCCACTCCTCTGCTGGAGCAATAGCCATTCTGTTATTGTCTAGTTTAAATTGCAATAGCTTATAGTAGGCTGGTTATTGCTCCGCCCACTGCCTTCTGTCAATCAGCAGAGGAGCGGACCTGAAAGAGTCCTGGAGCCCGCACTGACCGATTGGAGCCCGTGCTGACAACCTGGAGCCCACACTGACGTCCTGGAGCCCGCACTGACTGCCTGGAGCCCTCGCTGACCACCTGGAGCCCATACTGAGCGCTCACTATCCACTCGGATCCCTCATTGACCATCTGTAGCCCCACTGACCACCTATAGCCCCCACTGACCACCTGAGAGCCCGCACTGACAACCTGAGAGCCCGCACTGACTGCCTGGAGCCCATACTGACTGCCTGGAGCCCGCACTGGCCCTCATAGAGCCACACTGGCCACCTAAAAACCTGAACAGCCTCCTGAGAGCCTGCACAGCCCCCCTAAACTGCACACATCTCTCCTGAGACCTGGAGACATCAGGCCGCGAACCCAGAGCAACACAGAGTATGTCGCTTCATATTATTCTGCATTGCTGTATAAAGTATTGCTGGGATTTGTAGTACTCTATAGCTGATAGTATTATTCAGCGGGGCTTTAAAAATGTATTGCTGGGATTTGTAGTCCTCTATAGCTGATGGTATTCTGCAGTGCTTTACAATGTATTGCTGCTGGTATTCTGCAGTGCTCTGTAATGCATTACTGGGATTTGTACTCCTCTATAGTTAGTGGTAATATTCTGCATTGCTGTATAATTTATTGATGGGATTGTATTCCTCTATAGCTGGTGATATTCTGAATTTCTGTGTAATGTATCACTGGGATTTGTAGTCCTCTATAGTTGGCGGTATTGTGCATTGCTGTATAATGTATTGCTAAGATTTATAGTCTCTGTACAGCGTGGAGTCAGTGGCATATCTACCAGGGTCGCAACTGTAACCAGGCCCTGGCGCTCCACCACTGACTCCAAGCTGTAGAGAGACTACAAATCACAGCCCGGACAGGAGGAAGAGGGCCCCATCAAATGGCCCACCAAAATCCTCAGCACCAGACCCGTGATGCTCTTAATCCGGCCCTGTCTCAAAGAAAACTTTCTCTCTCAGGTCCGCTCCTCTGGGGCTGACAGAAGACAGTGGGCAGAGCAATAGCCAGCTTGCTATTGGCTATTGCACTTTATAAAAGAAAGTTCTCTCTCAGGTCTAGTCTTCTGTGACTGACATCAGGCAGTGGGCAGAGCATTAGCCAGCCTGCTATTGGGTATTTCAATGTTGAATAGCCAATAGCAGGCTTTGTTTATTTCTGCCCACTGCCTGATGTAAACATTGCATCGAGGAGTTTTTTTTTTTTTTTTATTTTGTTGGCCAACGCTGTGTGGGAGTAGCCCCTCTGCAAGGGTGAATTTCTTTAGATTCCTGGAATTCCTCTTTAACTTTTAGGGCAAATTAAAAATGTTTTTAAAGTTTCATGGACAGTGCCCAACTGTGTTGTTTATTTTTACATAAATAGAGTTGCCTTCCTTTTTAATGCTGCAAATTAAAGTGTAATGCATTTATGACTAACCTATATCATATCTGTGGCTAGCTCTCTATGTGCTGCACTTGGTTTCAGATGATTATTTACCTATAAATAGATAGATATTATATATGTTACAGGCTCTTAAACCTAGACACAGATGAAAGTTGCATTGGAACATAGGACAAGAAGAACTGGAAAGACCTAATTTGCTGCAGCATCACGGTAATTGCAATGGATCACTTAGACAATCAAGGAGCTGTGGTTATCTGCCAGGAAGTGGTAGACTAATCATTTTGTAGAAGGTCAGGTCATGTGTTTCATGATAATGGATGGTACAAACTAATCAGATATATAGGAGAAAAAAAACTTGGTTTATCAGTTTGTTCTCACAATGAGAAGTACCAGTATCCAGCTTTCTTCTTTTCCAACAGGATCTCTGAAGTTAAAAGAGAAGGAAGAATGTGACCTTTTGTAAACATAAATGTATAATATACTGCACTTTTCAATCACGCTGTACATCTGCATCAGAAATATCAATACATATATTGGGCATTTGATATTTAACTTATCTGCCCATACACAAATATGTCTGAATTGCAAAAATCCGCGCATTCATTGCCTGAGCTGAACATATGATACCCAATGTGATAACAAGAGGTGTTCTACGTAGACTGCATGTGTGAATATAAAAGTTAGCTTTCTGGGTCCACCTACACTCTAATCCCTGTGCAGAATCATTTCTAACCTGTGATTTTGGTAAACCTTTGGCAGATGATCAAAATGAAGGTTTAGACCTAAAACCCTGGGTGGTTATGTCAAAAAATAATTATTTTCTGCTGCCATTAGCTTACCCACGTCTGCTTTTATGTTAGTATTGACAGAATGAACGTCAAAAAGGGCTTATGTTGTTGCTTAAATATTATGTGTACCATATGCACTTTCCTGGATTATTATTTTGCATCCCTCAGGCCTATATAGCAGCTGGGCAGGTGGTTTGGCTTTTGGGTAAGTATTGTGCTAAAGTAGGGCATACTGGGCAGTGATGGATATTGTAACCATTACATTATGTACACAGAATAATCTGAGTGACTACTAACCCTTTCGCTGCCAAGGACATACTGTATGTCATATGTCGCTGACAGCGGGGCCCTGTAAAAGACTCCCAGCAGCTGTAGCCACCAGGAGTCTGTTTACCTGTATAAAGCTGACTGCCAGCTTTACACTGGAAGTGTTTCTGATTTCTGGCCACGAGATTGCTTCCAGGGACCAGTAAACAGTGCCCCCCATCTGACACCCCTTGCCCTACTTCCCAGGCTCCACTGCTCCTCCTGCGAACCTGGGACCGTCATCGCAGGTGTCGGTGGGTAGCATGGAGAGAGACCAGCGAACGTCCGCTCACTGATCTCCTCCCTGCTGATGCTGAATGAAACCAGAATCATCAATGTAGTGTCTTCTAGTAATAACCAGCAGTAACATAGACAATGGGGTGTTTCAGATTTCTGGGGTGTTCTATTACAAGATTCTGAATTTAATAGCAGCAAAGAAAAGATGACTATTACTGATAAGTACTTTCCCATTAAGATCTGACTGGATACATTTCAATGTCACAAAAAAGCACATAGGTTTACATAAAGACGAATTGTCAGTAAATGTACTGGAGTGGACAGTGATGGATATTGTAACCATTACATTATGTTCACTGTATAATCTGAGTGTCTACTAACCCTTTCGCTGCAAAGGACATATGACATATGTCGCTGACAGCGGGGCCCTGTAGAAGGACTCCCGGCAGCTGTAGCCACCATGAGTCTGTTTACCTGTATAAAGCTGCCTGCCAGCTTTACACTGGAAGTGTTTCTGATTTCTGGCCACCAGATTGCTTCCAGGGACCAGTAAACAGTGCCCCCCGTCTGACACCCCTTGCCTTACTTCCCGGGCTCTGCTGCTCCTCCTGTGTGCCTGGCATCGTCATCGCAGGTGTCGGTGAGTAATGGGGAGAGAGACCAGCGAACGTCCGCTCACTGATTTACTCCCTGCTGAATGAAACCAGAATCAGCACTGATTGCATCACCTCCGGTTTGTGAGCTGTCATTCCCTGGCTAGAGAAGCTGGGGAAAAAAAATAATGATTAAGCATGATCTGTGCTCAA